AATTGGATTTTCAAATATTTAAGTTGGGTACACGAAATTAAACATTTTAGCTTATTATGTTTTGAACGTTAGTAAAACCAAAAATATACTTCAAACACATGTTGTAACACGTGTAGCTCTTTGTTATTCTAATAAGTTTCGTTAACATTAGTTTGACGCTAGTAAAAAAAAAATTGGTGAGGACAATGGACATATATGATGAGATACCCTGCTCAATAGTTGTTTCATAGACTTTTACAACTGTAATCTGTTGAATTGTACTAACACAGCTCGGCGGTCTCCAATGCACTTAAGTGTACTATTTTTGAGGAGCTGAAGGCAATCATCGCTGGGGCGCCATGCTGTCTGCGCTGGGAATGTTATAGCTGGCTGAAAACCTCTATACGTTTGGATATTGAAAAGTATTTCACAGTAGACGACACTCTGGTGACATTTTTTGTTGTTGTCGAAAGCTGTTGCAAATATCCTTGTATGCGCATAACTGCGCGTTGTGTCACCACAGAATTATTTCGTTAAATTCCTACTAGCCTACTAGTTACGGTTATATCTCAGATTTAGTATAGGTACCTATTCCGTATATTAAGTCTCAGATAAACTCTATAAGTGCAGTTTTTATTTGTATTTTTCATTTAAAACAAATTCCATGACGGTGGTACGTTGATGACTCGACTCCTATAAAAACTCCTCGCCCCAACTGTTCATGTGTATCAAGTACAGATTGTCTAAAAACTATATTATTGTATTGTGACGAGTATTATAAGTCGATATTCATTCTTGTAACAAAATGTTAAATATTTATCGTCTGCAGTTGTACAGAACGTGCTTTTTAAATTGATTCGTACGCGATCGTATAAACATGTTTTTAGACTATTCCAGTATCAAGTGAAAAATATGGATATCAGCTTTTTATGCCCAGAAATTTAATTCAACCCTTTCCTTTTAACCGTTGCATGATAATAAATTAGCGGTCAACATATATTTATTTACGTGTTTTATTTTATCATTTCTATTTCTTCTGTTTATATCATTATCCAACTTTTTCCCTGTTAGTTGTGCCTTGTTATTGTTATTATAATTTCAAATAAATTATTCATATCGCAGTTCATTCATTAACACAATATTTATCATGTAAATAACGGTTTTCAAAATGTTTGTGAATAAAGGTATGATTGTAAATTGTAATTTATTTTTGGTGAAAAAAAATGACTGAAAGTACGATTGAATCAAATACTATTATGTTGCAATTATCATCTTGATTGTCATTGTATAAGGTATACAATTTTCATAATAACTAAAAAAATATTGGTTAGTACACATATATATGTGTACTATATATGTTTGGTTGTAACCGAATTTAGCATTTAAAATAAATTTGAAAGTGATGAATTTAATATCTTAATAAATACGAAAGTGCATATTAAGGTTCAATGTTATCCTTGTTATTTAGAAGTACCTAAACTGTTAAAAAAAATAGTGATAGGTATTTAAAATGTATTCATACTATAGTTGATTACACATTTTTAAAATAACTGATGGCACATCATTTCAAACACAATTAATCTCATTATTACAATTGACATGGGAATTGTCGCGTCGCCAAACGCAATCGCAGCAAACTTTTCGGGAAAAACGGGATTTTTTGATTATTGTAAAGCCCTACTTAAAGAACAATATGAGGATTACAATTTTCTTCTCGAGATTCCTTTTAACGCTTTAAGTACTGTGAAAAATATTCACGGAAAGAGAATCTGAAAGAGCCCGGTAAGCTTTTTAATGAAACGTCCGTGCAGCAGATCGATAAAACAGAGCCGAAAAACTACTGTCCATCAGTGAAATTAATCTAAACTTCTGTAATTCATTAAAGTAGTTGTTTCGTCATGCACTCGGTTCTATCGGCCCTAAGACATTTTTCTGAATATCGTAATGACTAACTCCCGTTGCAGCTGCGTTAAATAATTATTTATCGTCGTTGTGGATCTCTTTAGACCATCGTGTATAGTTAGTGTTCATATAATATTATATTGTAAAAGACTAAAATACTTACAGCTTCGAGACAGACGTCAGTATGGTTTAAAGGCCGAACCAAACCAATAATAATTCTCGCGGGACGTTATGATGTGACATATATTCGTGTATTTAATTATTACAAACCAAACAAATGTGTTTACGAACAGAACTTACGTAATATCGTAATCTTGATGCACGGCATAATATTATATTATAATATCATGAGCGCCCAGTGAAATATAATTTACGCGATATATTAGGTATAATATTCTTCCGAATCTCATTTTACAGCCTTCAAATAATTATTATTTAGGTAAATGGTATACGACAGAAAAAATTGTTGATGAAAATATATCGCAACGCAAAACCCTCGTGACAAATTATCACTGAAAATAAACAATCGTTTATCAAATATGTATTCCAGAATACAAAACCTTATATTTTGGTGATAATAAGCAAATATCACACGTGATATTTTATCAAACGATCTCGAGAACAGGGCTCCTGACCCTAACAGAAATATCGATTTTTGTCTCATCGATTAGAACAATAAAAGTAAGGTTTTGCAATAATTATCGTTTAGTTTGATCGAAATAAATTAACACCGACCAACGAAGACTGACCGACTTCGTGGTTTGAAAGTTAGGTATATGTTCTATTTTGGAATAAAATAATTTGCAAACGACACGCGGTAAACCACGATTGAGCATAAAGCGATGGAGCCTATACCTTTTTAGCAACACGATTGAGCATAGAATATTTTATTTTATACGAGGTTATTCACGTTGTCGAAATTAGGAAATTTATTGTTTTCGCGTATTATTACACCAAGTATTTTGATATCAGACTCGAGCCGTGAGCCGAGCCCAGCTTTATCGACAATGTTATCGATTAATAAATTAGTTCCGGACCTAATATTCCAAACTTTCAACCAATATTTAAATCGTAAGAATACGGAATCTTCATTAATATATTTTAGCCAACTTGGAAACAGACACCAAGGCATATCAATTTAATTTATTATTATAAATTTCAACTTCACGATAGGCAGTAACTAGAGAAAGTATGAACATTTTATTATTATTATTATTATTATTATTATTATTATTATTATTATCGAACAAATCTATGTAATATTATAAATGTGACTATATAGTTGACTCTGCAATCATGTTATATTTTGAATTATAATAATTATATAACTAAATATTTTTGTATTGTGCAGTCCAAAATTGAAAATGGCAACGTTGCAAAGTTTTTTATGCTCAATCGTGTTGCAAAAAAGGTGTTTTATTCTCAATCGTGTCTCAAACACAACACGATAGGTAGCTAATACGTTACACGAGTATTGCATACGTGAATATATACCTATGCTTAATGATCGATGTTTCCCAGAAGCTGGAAGTAAAATTTAATCGATCCCTAGTAAAGGTCTACTAGGTACATTTTATTTTCTTTGCCGTACGAAAAAACATTGAATCATATTATTTTATTTTATATTTAATACTATTTTATTAAATTATAATAAAACTACATGTGGCATAAAAATATGTCGGTTGCTATAACTTACGATAAATCCGATTTTACGTTTTAAAAAAATTTGTATCCAGATTTTTTTTGATGGTTATGGTTACTTAATTTTGTTATTCATTCTTTGCTTGGGTCAATCTATAGGTACTGTAACGCAAAATTATTACGTTTTAACGTTGTAATGAAAAATCCATCACGGTTACGAAAAAAAAGTTCTATCCCACCCAATCACATATACGTTATAGTTTTAGAACTGAGTTTTTTTTTCGGAAAAGTTTGGAAATGTTGGTTAAATTTAAAGTTCCCCAAAATATGATTTCTTAGAAAAAACTGGGAAATTTCTGGAAAAAGTGAAAAAAGAGTAACTATCCCCGAAGTCTGTAGTGGATGAAATGATGGATGTGTCGTGCGTATACGGTAGTTTCAGATTATAATAGCAATCAATATTATAGTTTTGAAGGTAAAATAATACCAAATTAATCCGTGCTTCGTACTGAGAATATTGTGTAATTATTATTTCTTAATCTATAAATTAACATTTTTTTAAATTTAAAACAACGTTCTATTCGATCTCTATATTATGATCCTATATAAACCGTATATTGCAGTATACAAATGCTTTTACTCGAAAGTGTGCCTTCGGTATTGTCGTCATATACCCTTCGCGCGCTCACATTTTAGACTCGCTCTACAACTCACCGATGTGCCGACTGCAGTGGAAAACTCGTGAGATCGTACTCTCATGTTTTTCCGTGCGTATTCTAACGTGACGCACAGCGACGATTCGGTCGGTATCTATACATATATATTATATATATATATATATATGTTGTAAGAAAATAAACTATCACATTATATATTACTATAGGCCGTAGTTCGGTCGACGGGAAAACATAATAATATATATAATGCATTACGCCTGGCTGTTCGCCCATATTCTTTCGTATTATATTCCATGCGTTCTATACCGAAAATCGTCATATATCGTTATCCGAACGAATAACTCTCGTCTTGTGTTACGTAAGTCTGCCGCTCTTTGACAATACCTGTGATAGTAGTAAGTAATGAGTTTAAGCAGCCGGAAGAGGGAGGGGTATGTTTGACATTTTTAATATCAACTCGCAAAATACCGATATTATGACTTGTAAATTGTCCGGGCCGATTTGGATCCTTAGTTCCAATGCTCGGGCACGCCTAACCCCATAAACGATAAACTTATACTAATACTGAAAATCAACTAGCAAAAACTTTGAAATTAATTTTTTCAAGTCCAATTTGTTATTTCCATTTACCGCGCAATGATAAGATGCTAAATTCACGCACTTAAATACATAAATTATGATTATTATGATATAACGTACGATCGAGATTCCGTCATCGTTGAAAAACGGTTTATGATATGATCCGAGTCTAAAATCGTTTGTAACTATACTATATTATGATGTTTACAATTTGTTTATTTGTTTGTTTTAGCTGACGTCTATGATAACTTCAAAAAATGCGTGAAGCCAGACGAACTAAATGTCACGACTAGAATTCTCGGAGGTGGCTGGTTGGAACACGGCGAAAAATCCATCCTCGTCGAAGGCGCATCTGTTGTGAGTCGAAATTTACATAAATTATTTAAAGATTACATATAGGTAGTATACTTATCGTAGTATGTTGTATTTAAGGATTATTTAAAAACATATTTCTTGTGCTGGTAGTACCAGACAGTACACATTAGTTATTACATCTCTGACCTTTGCAATGTAGTCTTAAAAAATTGGCAATAGTCTGTGTTAAATAATATTTTCTTAGAACACGTCTGAAACACATTCAAACTAGCAACCGAGTTTTATATTATAAAGTTGACGTTAAAATTTATTTAATGTTTCATTGAATTTACATGACCCCATAATAAATCCGATTCTCTGTTTCACTTATAAACAAAACGTCGATTCCAACGGTAAATTATATATATTGAGAAATAATTTCGAGTATCGATAAAACGAATTATCAATAAATTACCTAACTAATATATTTGCGATATTCTAACAGCGAAAAAGCGTTCTTTTTTCTTATTATCTTTTTTTGTATTATACACTACATTCAGTGATTACTGATAACCAAGCATGCTTACTCCCATTTTTTCACAAATTATGACTTTATTCAAATTTTGATTTTTGGATTTTTTAAATAAGTGAAATACCATGTACTAAAATTCTTGAGAATTTTTTAACTACTTACGGAGTGTTCAGTGACTACAAAACTGTCTCTCAAATTAAAACCCCTCTTTTTTACTTTAAATTATTCATTATTTAATTGGATAATTTTTTGAAAATTTACCTATCTAAATCGAAATTCAAACGAGTTGTTTCTTAATTATTAAAATGTGTGTATTAAGAGTAATATAGAATATCTTTTAGAATATTTTTACAAAAATATAATAAATATATATATAATATGTTGGATCTAGAATGTATAATACTTGTACAACTATTACAAGTTAATAATTAACTATGCATTTTGTTAGATCAATATTATACACTAATTTTCCAATTAATAAGCTTTCATATCTTCCAACCCATTATAACCCTTTTATACTCAAATACTATCCACCCATTAGAATTTTGATTCATATACTTCAACATTATCAAAAAATAAACTCTAAATAATCGGGGATTGCCATTTAAAAAATACATAATCTTGGATCTCCAAAGGAGAGTCCCTTGAGTAGTACAAAAAATCCCGATAATTTGAAAACCTATTGGTTTTTATGTATATTTATATATTTCCAGTATCTGATTTTGAATAACTAAATCATTGTCGAAAAATATGGGTGATCATGCTTGGTGAACCAACATGTATATGATAATTTAATTAATAGTTAAAAGTATAAAAGTTAAATAACATGGTTCAAAAATAAATTTCAATATTTTCAAACCCATTACTGAAACATACTAAGTAATTTATTAATACTAACTGTAATTATTTCTTTGAGTATAGTAAAAACATGCGCAACTGTAGCTACCTAATTTTACATTGAATAAAATTAATAATATATTGGTTAAGTAATAGAAAAATTATGAGCATAGGAGCCTTAAGTACAATTATTCATAGTATAGTACTTTTGACTTCGATCACTTAGCGAAAAACGCATAAAAATGGTATTCGCAGAGTGGCTGGTTAACTACGTCCCACTGGGTCAAAGTTGAGATATTAGTTACAATATTTTTTTATAAATATTTTACCTCATTACTTTTGGTCACGAGCATAAATAAAAAATCGATTTTGTGCCAATTTTTATTAAATTTAGCTATTCTTGGACTTATTATAATCGGCTCCGTAAATCAATTATTATTGTACCTATGCAAGTGTTCTAGAAGTTTGACGAAAAAAATATAGAAATCTAAAAATAGAAAAAGCTTTATTATTCAGGTTTCAATCCTTTTACAGTTATCGATATTTTAAAACTATCTTAACCTCATTACCATGCTTATAGTATTATTATTTAAATAACCAGTTTTAAAGTTTCAAGCGCATAGGTCACTAAAACAAAAAAAATGTCTACTTTCTAATTGATAACACAAATTTAACATACTTATCAATTTTTAAATATCTATAATAATTAACAAACTTTTTTTAAAGACTTTTGTGAAAACTAATAAATCTTTATCAAACTAATCTAACCTGAATTATGAACTTATTAAATTTGGTTGAATTTTATTTCATCTAAATTTAAAACTTAAATGAAAATAAAAATGTTTTGTATAATGCGTGTATAATATAAAATCATAAATTATTGATGTTTAAATATTTTAACTTTTAAGAAACTCAGTCGTTCTCTTGTAAAATTACTTAATAAAAAAAATCGTTTTTATGTATAATATAGAAATGGGCTTTCGGTAAAAATATTTATTTATTCTACATAAAAATGTAATCATAAATTTAAATTTAAAATTGATATTCTTTTAAATCGCTTTTAAGATTCCTGTTTTTAATACTTGTAGTACATATTTTAGTCGATGAAAATGTAATATTATATTATTTAGATCCATCATGATTAAAATTTAATTCATGTTAGACTGTTAATTAGTATAAATTAAAATAATGCTACCATAATAAATAATTCCCAATAAAATAACTCACAATTTGTGATCAATTATGCATATGGTTCTAATATTTCTTTTTCTTTTTCCAAAATCCGTTGAATAAGTTTTTGTTTTTTTTAGTGAATTCTTCATAATTTATGATTCCTACGTGAGTTCTTTAAATATTTTAAAATAATCCATCACCATTTTAATATGTATTCTATTCGAGTTCGTTTTTTTTTTTTTACATTATAAGTATTGAGTTGAGTATTGCATTAAATAATCTGTTTTTGTTTTTTACAATACTTTTTCTTTGCAAAACTAATGAGAAAATCTTAAAATGCCCGTTTTTAATTACCTTTACCTGTTAATATATTGAAAAAATATCTTATCAATAAATAAAGTAAAATCGTGAAGCCATGGTCTCCCTCAGCTGGAAAAAAAATGATAACAGACAAGACTAACGAGACGAATGAAAATAAACCGATACTGCAATCTTTGTTGCTATTAGCTCTGAAAGTTCTAAAATAAAAACAAAACTGGTCGTTTAGGACCGATCCTGATGTCGTGTACGCGTATATAAATATAATTATTAATAAATGATTCAAGGTCGGTATTACTTGCCGTCATTGTATTCTCACCGGGGCACCATCAATCAATCACTGCATTGTCTACACAATCGTTACGCAACATTATAATAATATATTTGAAAAATATTATACGGTCAACGGCGATAGTCTTAATACGTACATTTATGAAAGGCACACGCGAACAAATAATTATAATGATTGAAACCGAAAATGTGATTTCGTTTCCATATCGATTATTTTTATAATATTATATTACTACTGTAATACTCTCCTATTCAATTAATATTATAATATATGACAGTAAAAATTTCAATTGTTTTTAAGGGTAATGGGTTAGGCTTAACCAATAAATGGATTAACATTTTATTTATGACGAAAAAAAGCATTCAACTGTCGAATTACTAAATGTGTTTAGTTGAAAATCTTATCACCCATCATATATGATATTGTATAAGTACATAATTTATGTCAGTAAATTTGGAAAAGTGTAAAAATATCAACGTGTAAACTAGTATACGCATTATACAACATATATATGCAGAATTATTATTTATCTTCCGATTTCGAGACGAACGCGAGTTCTCGCGCTTTGCAATGTGGTTTATCGTTGTGGAACGCTGTGCCGTCACTCCACCCGTTTTAGGTCTCAAAAGTCAAAATATCTACTTAAAGGTCATAAACATTAGTCAAACGTATTTCATTATGTAACGCAGTCTGGTGTTATCGACCGCCCGTGTGAATGCAACACTGTATCGAAAAGGTCGCCTCAGAATCATCACACGTCACCGCAACGAAGTGCCATAATTGATATGTTAAAAGATAAAACTATGATAGATAACTGATTCATCAAACCGCGGTCTAGCCATCAATTAAATCATGAAACTAAACTTACCGAATAGGTTTATACAAATAATGTAATTGTTAATTGCATATTGACTAACACTCGACAATATTATATCAATATAATCATTACAATCGTTATTTACACGGATGAGGTGTTCGATGTTATAATAATTTTATAGTCCGTTGCGTGTTCAAAAGAATGATTTAGCTAATCGAATAGCTAATCCGATTATTGTCTTCTATTAGTTATTACTAACACATTTTTCTAGTTATTAAATTATTTGAGTTTTTTAAATCGTTTTTGATTTATTTGAACTTATTTTTCAGTACAATACGTAATCCCATTATTTATAAATTAAAGCCTTCGGAAAGAAAGAATTGGATGATTTTGATTAAGGTTTACCAAATGTTTAAAACAACAAGAGTTTAAGTATACGATGATGAATGATCATTGATCACCTAATCACCATCAACCAATCTAATAAATTTCCAACACGTTTAATTGGAAACATTTATATCAAATATTAATGTACCTTCTATTGTTTGCTTTATTTATTCATTTACCATCGTCAATGAATACTTATAAATTATAATGCATTGAATAATAGTTCTAAACAATATTATACCAGCATAACCTGCATAGCATAAAAGGTCAACAATAACCCTCCAGTCATATTATCCAGTCCGCTGCTATTTGTAACAACTATTTCTAATATTTTGTTGACATTTTTAGCATTAGTTAAAATTAAGTATTAATTATTTTTTAGTTATAATATATTTAAAAAGAAAAGCTATTACATTTTGTTTTGAATTTATTATTTAAACGTGGACTAATATTATAAACGATTCTACATTTTTTCTTTCAATGTATTTGTGAAAAACACAATGCTCTGTTTGGTCTATAATGATATGAGAAAATTACTATCAAATAAAATTCTGATCACTCTGGATATATTATAGGATATTATGGATGGTTCTGAAATCGTGTGTCCGTAAAATAGACATATAATATAAAAGCAATATCTCTGCGCATGGCCGCGGTCTGCAGTTGGGTTGAATATCAATCAATTAGTGCTTATGCCTTCTCTTGGG